GGGCAATTCGGGGGACAGTGATTCAATTTGGTGATTCAAATCACTGTCCCAAATGGATTTGCCTGAATCTGGTTTGGAGATTCAGCTGCTGCTGAATCAGCTAAATCAGACAGGCCCCATCCCCTACCCACTCTCCCAACCCCAGCAATGGCTGCCCTGCCTGGCCCCAGCTCCCGGCTCTTTGAAAAAAAAAAAAAGCCCCAACTCACTAGCTGCTGCCAGGTGAAGGGCAATCCTTGCTGCCTCCTCCACTTCTCCATGCCATGTGGGGGGCTCTGCCATGGCCCCCCTCCACCCTCCGCCCACTCTCCCAGCCCCACCATGGCTGCCCTGCCCACCCCAGCTCCCAGCCCTTAAAAAAAAAAAACAACAAAAAGCTGTAACTCACCAGCTGCTACCAGGCAGGAAGGTGATCCCCACTGCCCCCCACTGCCCCATGCTGTGTGGGGGGCTCTGCCATGACCCCCAGAAGCCCCAAAGCCGCTGCAGCAGTTGGAGAGTGCAAACTATTTTTCTTTTTTTTTTTAAAGGGCTGGGAACTGGGGTGGGGGGCTGGGAGAGCAGATGGGGGTCCGGGGGTGCTCAGGGGGGCTGGGGAATCAGGTAGGGGATGGGACCTAGCAGGGGTCCCCCCCATGCTCACCTCCAGCTTCCCCTCCCCTGCCCCCTAGTTACCAGCTCCAAGTCTGCATCCAGCTCCCTGCTGTAGCAGGCAGGGACTGCCCAAATTGCTGAAGCTCTCTGAATCTTTTCCGAATTGATTTGGAGAGCCTTGAATCAATTTGGGCTTTTTAATTGCTCTCCTGATTCGATTCAGAGTCCGAGATTTGGCCGCCGAATTGGGACAAACCTCCTTCAAATCGAATCAGCACCTGAAGCTTTGCACAGCCCTAGTGGGTACCACCCAGAGATGACCCAAGCAGGGTGTGGGGCCCAGGGCAAGTCAGTCCATGTGGAGCCCTGCTTTGATCCCAGATCTGAAGAAGCTGCTGCTGCTGCCCTTGGTGGCGGGGGGGGGGGGGGGGGGGGAGCAGCTGGATGTGGAACAGCGCCTGGCTCCACACTGCCTCTGCTCCACCCAGCTCTGTGGGGCCCTCTAAAGCACAGGGCCAGAGGCAGTCACCCTGATTTGGCCCCCCTAGGGACAGCCCTAGTAATACCCCTTCCAAATATTAATTTTAGAAAATCATCTTTGTTTTGTCTTAATTCACCTTCAAAAACCCAGAATTAGCAAGGAAGAGAAAATCATTTGTTCATAAGGATTTTTGTTACTGAGAAACAGGCTGCTGACAGAAATATGCTGAATATGGTATTCGTAGGTGTGTAATGATCTGAAATCAAATACAAGAGGCATGATTTTGGCAAAAATAAAACAGCAGATGCTTATAACAAGTGAGTTTGCTCTAACAGATTTCTCTTTTGATAACCAGGTCAGCTGTTTCTAACAGAAAATAATTTTAGCTAAAGGATTTTTCAGATATAAGTTTTGTATTAGAAAGATAAGAAACAAATCCATAAACTTAAGGTATAATCATGTATTCATTGACATTGGCACAACCACATAGATTTAGAATTTATGTGTATTAAATATATACATGGTGCTTCATTCAACCGAAATATATATTTTTATAAATAACATTCACATTTTATCCCTAGCATGGCACTTGCACAAAAGTAACCATACCTTTAGCAACTGTACAATTTGCACAAGTAACTCTTTGTGAAAGTATTCTTTTCTTTAACATTTTCTTTATGTTTACGAGTCAGTATGTTCCAATATGCAGCAAATAACCGAAAGAAAATAACATGACCATGTTACATAATTTATATCCATCTAAACAATACATTAAATCCTCCAAAACAAAGGGAAACTAAATTTAGAAAAAATATCTTTTAATGCTCTGTAAATATTTTATGAAATATATAAAACCTGAAATAATTATCAAATGCTTGCATAGGGTGCCTATCACCATAATATGTAGGTACCAGAATACAGAAACTTCTATGCAAACAAAGCTGAATCCTCATAAACCAGGGGCAGGCAATTATTTCGGGAGGAGGGCTGCTTACTGAGTTTTGGCAAGCCATCGAGGGCCACATGACAGGCAGCCAGGGGAAGATTAATTTTCTAAATTTTTTAGGGGCCCCACGGGCCAGACAGAATGGCCTGGCAGGCTGCACATGGCTCACAGGCCGCATTTTGCCCATCCCTGTCATAAACTGTGCTTTTTCCATCTCTTGAAGTAGCTCCTTAGACTTGTACAATGCAGTCATTTGTAGTTTTTAAAAGTCTAAATTACCCTTTCCCTTCCTTTCTTATTCTTGCATGATGGAGTTGTTTCTGAATGTGCATAGAAGCAGCAATGGGGAGAATGTAGGGGTGTAGCCATTCTTGCCCCTGAAATGTAGAGTGCATGTGTTTCTCTCGAGCTTGTAAGAGCAAGCTGTTACGCTCCCCGTTGCCCACTTCAATGGGGAAACCTTAAAAGGGAAAGAATCCGAGATGAGATCTGAAGTCTATTTGGTGTAGTTTTATTTGGATTTTAGCTGACAAAGCTGCAAAGAGGCCTAAAACATTCTTCCATTATTTATCCTTTTAACCTTGGAAAACCCCAAAGCTTTTAAGTCCTGTTGTGGGACATGCTGTATACTTGGCTCTCAGTCAAAGAACCCCATTTTGTGAACAGAGCTCCTGCATGCAGATGAACTGCTGTGCCTACACAAAGCACCTCTAATGGGGCTCTGTGCAGAGACAGCAACTTCCCCAGATTAATGAATTGCAAGGTCAGGGCCCACAGAAACACAACAAACCATAAAACCCCCAAAAGTTTGTTTAATGGCAAAGGAGTATATTTTGTGTGAGATACTTTTGCTTTTTAAAAAACATTGCCCATGAAACAACACCATAGCTCCTTAGTAACCAGGTGCTCAAAACAATCTTTGTACACCTTGTGCACCTCCCTGTTCACCTACCAACAATAGATATATGTTCAGGGTGGCATTTGACTGGTGATGTTTTGTTTTTAAATAAATGTTCAAGTAACTGCTTACTGAAAGTATCATTTGGCAGTTGTGATAGCAGCACATTGGCAGGAGCTAGTCTTGGGGCTCTTGATCAGAAGACAAGGAGGCTCTTGTTCCTCCTGCTATTCCTGCAGCTCTAGAAAGCTTTCCTCCTGGGTCTTAATAATTTCTTCTTTCTTGCAGAGTGCAGTTTCTTTTTTGTAGCCAGACTCTGCTGCACATAAGTTGTCCCTATCTTCATATACATTCACCTTGAAAATGGAAATTCAGAAGAAAACAGAAACAAATGTGGTACTAAGAGTTATATCCTTAAATTATTAGTAGCAGAAGATGCAGCTTGTAGTCTAGGTGGACAATATATAGTGTAGCATAAGCAATGCTTTATCATTAGTTACATATCACTTCAGATTAACATAAACAGAAACACTTTATAACACATGATTTCTAAAACTTATCATGGGATGACTTTAGAAATTCCACAACGGACATCAGACCTTTAAAATATTTTATGACATCCACATGTTGGTAATGACTGTGACAAACAGTCCTTTTTAGCATCACTTTCAAATAATTATTTTACAATATGCCCCTAAAAACTGAGTACAAAGCCATAATTTTTTTGTTATAAGTAAATATCCATTTCTAGATACAAACTTGACACATTTATGTACCTTGTTTAAATTGTACTGGTATAAAGAGACAGGCTTTCCCATTCCTAGTATACATGCTATTCTCTAAGTCAAATATCCTATGCACATATGATTATCCTCAAGAGAAAGTTTACCACAGATCAGATGCCAGGTATTTAAATGTGTCAATTACTTAATTTTTCCAACTCATTTTACCATATGTTAAATTCCCACTACTACATTTATTAACTCAAAAAGACTTCCTGAGATAGATAGCTCTCATATGGAAAATTAACTGTGTGAGTAGAGAATCTGTACCTTCATTTAATTAACAGCTCTTATATTTGTAATGGGAATGTAGAAGTACTGGTGAGGAGAAGCTGTGGGAAATGACAATTTCATGTTGGCATTTGGCTGTTAGAAGACTGCTTAACCCCGAGGAGCATGACCCCTGCAGTAACATGTCGGCAGGAGGAGTTAACCCCCTGAGAAATGGAAAGTGGAGTTACCCTCCAGGGTGGGGATCTGGGAATGCTGATAGGGAGATAACAGGAAGGCAGTCCTCCAAGGCAGCGTGTTGAGGGCTGAAGCAGTTTCTCTCCAGAATGTGTGTGTTGAAGGAGGTCAGGTGACTCTATTACACCTTTAGGATGAAGTTGTGGCTTTGTTTTGGGGTGACAGTAAGGGGAAGTCCAACAATCCTATAATACATGTGTGGTTTGGGTGGAGATAAATGTTTCCTGTGTGGCATGTATTTACAAGAAAATGGTAACCACCAAGAAAAGAAAGGTGTTTACCAATCTGAACTAGAAGTCTTTAATTGTATGAATTGGCCTTTAAGGAAATAATTGAAGGTGATGACATGAAAACAAGGATTCTAACACCTTGACCTTTAGTGTAAGAAACAGTTCACAACCTAGGAATGGAAGAGAGAAGCTGACACCATTTCCCCCACCCTACGCCCCCGCCCTAAGATGAGTCATCAAACATCACATCCCGAGGTACTGTAACTGCAGCCTGATACAATAATGAATTCTCTAACTTCTTTAAGATCACAAAAGTCACAACTCAAAATGTTCAACCCTGGATAACAAAGCTAGGTGCCAGAGCCCATCTTCAGGCTCCTAAATAAGAGCAGCTGATTGTCAGAAATCCTGAGCACCTATGGCCCCTGTCAACTTGCTGGGCATCTGCATTTCCTGCACAACTTTTGAAAATCTAGCCATTTTTATTTAGAAGCATAAACCCAGATTCAGATGGTTTGCTTGAAGTGCTGTAAACCAATGAGTGCCAAGGAACCATCAACCTATTAAGGATGAGCACCCATTTTAGGTGAAATAGGATGGTTAATATGTGGCTGTTATCTGTCTGGGCAGGCTGTGTTTATCTCATTCTTCTGCGATGGGGTCTTGGGTACATGCAGGGTACAGGGAGCAGTGAATCCTGTGGGCTGGAGTGATATGTGTGTGCAAGGAGGAGGCCTATTCTTCCTTTAGGTGTGTGAAGAATGGAAGATCTTATCCCTCTGGGTTGGGGTAACAGTGAGCCCTGTGCAAGGGGTGATGGTTTCCAGGGATACCTCTGCCTCACACTCAAACTGCAGAAGGGGTGGCAGGTGAAGACTCCTGGGGCTGTTGCTGTGGGCAGCCTGCACGAGAGTTTCCAGGCCTCTTCCCCAGAGGGGGACCCTCACTACTCTCCTCTTCTCTCTGCAGGCTCATATCATGGGGCACTGGTGGGGCCCAGGCAGTGATGGCAGGGGGAGGAAGCGGGGGTGTGGCAACCCCCTCCTTGTGGCAGGTGGCAGCACAGTGATAGGAGACCAGCTCCTTGCTGAAGTTGACCCTCTCCACAGCTGAGCTGGCTGCAGAGCGGTGGAAGCACGGGCAGCCCAGCAAGCTGCCGAACGCTCGCCTGAAGTCCGCGTTGAAAGCATAGATTGCCGGGTTCACAGACGAGTTGGCCCAGCCAAACCACACAAAGACGTTGAAAGTGGTCTGGCCCACGCAGGGCGATGGCTCCTGGGGGCCGTCCTCATCCCTGGGCTGGCAGAAGGGCACCAGGCAGTTGAGCACGAAGAAGGGCAGCCAGCAGCAGACGAAGACACCCACGATGAGGGCGAGGGTCTGCAGCACCTTGGCCTCCTTGCGCAGGGAGGAGGCCGGCTCCCCGTCCTGCGACGGGCACCGCCCTCCAGCCTGCTCCAGGGAGGAGATGCGGCGGATCTGGGCCCGGGCGATGCGGTAGATGCGGGCGTAGGTGGCGATCACGACAGCCACAGGGATGTAGAAGCTGACCAGGGAGGAGGTCACGGCGTAGGGACGGTTAAGGCGGGGGTCGCAGTGGGGCAGTGACCCTGCGTCCCTGTCCCTGCTGGCCCGGTGCCAATGCAGCTGCACGGGGACGAAGGAGATGAGGAGGGAAAGGGCCCAGGCCAAGGCGATCATGGTGGCGGCCAGGCGCCGGGTCATGCCGCGCTGGTAGCGGAAGGGGCTGGAGATGGCCCAGTAGCGGTCCAGGCTGATGAGGCAGAGGTGCAGGATGGAGGCGGTGGAGCACATGATGTCGAAGGCCACCCACGTGTCGCAGAAGCGGCTGGCGGAGAGGCCGGGCGCGCCCGCCCGCCC